AAAAATACAGGTCTTAATAAATAATTTTTTACATTGACACATGTGCAACTTTAAAAGCGTGAGATCGATTGTTCGTTGACAATAATCAACTACGCGAATTCCTACCCGGCCTTAAATTCTCAGCATACCTAAGTCCTGCAGTCGAAACATTAGGTACATATCACGGTAGTATCTTCGCTGAATCATGCGCTATTGGATTACGCATTCCGTTGATTTTCCATAGTATCTGGTCTCGACATGATACACGGAGATGGATGTCAAATATTACGCGAGTGTAATATAGCTCCTTCACGGAGACTATATTAGTCCGCAGATATTCATCTTCTTTTATCACGGTAGCAATTACTCGGGTAAATTAAAAATCCACTAAATCGTCCATAAGGGAATTACAAAATAATTTATTTCCTTTTGTCAAACGGAAAAAAAGTAAAGATTAGTTTCTTCAAATTGCCAGTATAATAATAAAATTCCAAATTGTATTCGACCACAGCTGGCCACATTTGTTAATTAATCGGATAATGCAGAAAAAAAAGTAAGTTAAAAGTCTAACAAGATCATCAGTGAATGATTGTCCGACTTGCAAATCTTTAATAATTAAAAATATCGCCTTTCGCCTCATTTCCGAAAGAAAAAGATTAAATTATAATAATAATTAAGATGTAATAGCATTAACAGTTAGCGAGTTTAGTTTCAATGTTTATTTACTGATGCAACTGCGTTAATGAGCAATTTAGAAATATAATATGTATCGCAATGTTACCGGCGCTACTTCAATTATCGAATTAAAGGAATCCAATCTTGAGACGTCAAGCGCAGGTGACCTCTCAAAAGTTCACAAGGTTAGAACGAGCCGGTACGGATAAAGGTCTTGAGGAAAGCGCGTAGCCGGAACCCTTGAATATTTATGCTTCGCGTACAAAATAACGAGATCTAATTATAAAGAATTCTTGCATCGATTAAACGTCAATCTCTGTCGAGATAGCGTTAACCGCGGAATTCGTCAGGTTCCGGGTTTCGCACGGTTGCGGTGGCCAATTAAACGCCGCGGAACTGCTTAATATAATTTTGCAATTATATTAGACGTTAATTAAGCGTCTTACACCGCCGGCAAATGTCAAGGAAAAAGCTGCGGACAAAAGTTATAATGTTCGATGTTTCATTTTCCTCGTATATTGGATTTCTAACATAACAAATGCGTGTATTTGAAATTTCTGGCTAACAATTAATATCTGAGAGAATCTAAACTAATTGTATAGCTTGTAAAAGAGAACATTAACATAAATTAACATAAATTAAATAATTAATATATTATGCTATAATTACAATTAATTATGATTATAATTAAATAATTTCAGTTCGTCGACTTTGCACTTTTTTGCTTAATCCCATTAATTTTTAATTGTCGTATTTAAGATTCACGAAATTTTCACTAAAACTATTTGAGTTTTGAAATATTTTATTTAGTTTTAAATTCATCTGCAGTTATTTTTATTTGAGAATAAAGCGTTGAATTTATTAAATTTGATTGCAAGAATAACATTACTACGCGACGTGGCTTTAAAACACTGTTTCGAATTTTGTGAGAGATTGCTCATTTTTTTCATAACCAGAAAGATATATTGCCCGTTGTTTGTCGACCGTATCGTCGACAATTCGTTTTGTAGATATATATATATATAACTCCAATTAATCACACAGGTCAGTTCCAACTATTTTCCTTTACAGAACAATCTTTTAAAGAGTGAAACAAATTAAATATTTTACGAAGAATTAGTTGCAAATTATAAAATTGTACGTGCTGCTGATTAAATAAATAAAAGTTTAATTTCCACAGGTAAATCGTGTTCCGCGAAAAGATCTCATAAATAAGCGAGAGTAGCGTATCGGAAAAATAAATGAAATTTCGCGTTAAAACAAATTAATAATCCACGAGCAGCATTTGTATAAACGAATTTGCATTATCGTTTGTACGAAGATCGTTTTGCTTTATATTAATTTACGTCTGACGTCTTTGCATTATTTATTGCAGGATGAAAAGAACCAGATACTCACGACCAACTGTTGGGTTACGCAGATTTGGACCGATCATCATTTGAAATGGAATGCCTCGGAATTCGCTGGAATTCGAGTAATCCGCGTTCCGTACAATCGTGTCTGGCGACCTGACACGATTTTGTATAACAAGTGAGCAATCTTGTCGAATCGGGGAATAAGCTGTTTCGCGAACTTTTCAACGCGGCGTTGCAATTTAAAAATGTATACCGCAAGGAGGAAGTTTGTATATTCAACCAGCGGCTCTGGGATATTAAAAAATTCTCCAAATTATATGTGTGCGGAGTAACGTTTTATACGTTCTCCTGAGACCTCTTGATCCTGCTATTCTCATGAGAACTTGCTTCGATTCCTTGCGGGATACTTTGCGGCGATACGCATAAAGTTCAGACTGAAGATGATTCGGAACAAAATATGACTGTAGAGAAAAGCGAGCAATTTTGGAAAGTGACAATTTTCAGTCGGCAGAATAAAACTTGAAAAACAAAACAGAAAGAAAATAAAGACGGGGGACGAAACGATTCAAGATCAACTTAAGAGCGTAACAAGGAGGATCAAGTATAGCTTCCAGAATTGCTCCAGTAATAGAACTTCTAGATAAAGTAGAGGGACGGAGTTCACGTACAAAGATACAAAGCTGGTCGGAAAAATAGGAGTTTATATATCTCGTTGCGTTTTCAATTTTCTGGTTACAGTGCGGATCCACAATATAGTTCGGCGGTCATCAATACAAATGTGATCGTCAGTCACACGGGGGAGGTGGTCTGGCTAAGCCACGGTATCTTTCGCAGCAGCTGCGACATAAATGTAGAGTTCTTTCCCTTTGACGAGCAACGATGTGCTCTCAAATGGGCCTCCTGGACATACGACGGGTACCAAGTAAGTTTCGCACTCTACGCTTTGCATTTTATCTCGCACATTTGGATCTCCATCCGCCCGAATGCAAATTATCAAAGTTTCACATTTGCATAATTGAATACCCGATTTTTAATAGAACAGGTCACTGCGTCGCGTATCAAAATTTTTCTTCTTAAAACGGTGAAGTCCGAAGTTCGTTCCGTTGAACAAATTATTCAACGATGTAAATTGTGAAAATTTGCAAAATTTGCACCGCGCGCAAATGTGTCTTCTATCGCAATCAACCAAGATTTGACTAACGCGTTTAAAGCCCTATCTATAATCGTAAGACGAATCTCGGGCAAAGACGCGAAATTTATAGTCCAACAAGTGAAGAAACTTAAAAATTAAGATAAAGGGATTACACGGGGATTTCGTAAAGATCTCATAATGATTTCGGAGACACTGTCCCACGATTACATTAAGTGGTTACCCCCTGCTTTCTTTCTCTGTCTCACCATATCGCGAGAAAGGAGGATCACGCCTGTGCAGTACTGCGCAGGCACGATTCTTTTCTTCTACGATGGTGTAAGACAGAGGGAGAAAGTCTTCTTAAATCTCCTCTTTCTCTCTTCACAAGCTTCAGCTTATTCAATGGGACGCTCAGTCTATATTTACTATGTCTATGGGTATTACAGTCACCTTCATTTAAGACCGCGGAATATTTTATGGTTTCGGTAGATATCATTCTGCGAGATGCCGTATCGATTATCCGAAGACTGAGATATCGGCATACGTTGTATAGTTGATGCGAAATGCGAAACCGTATCGATTAGAATGAAGATAAGGGCGTCGAATGAGCACTGCGGATAAAATCTCGCGTTTGGAAACGTCCTGAAATTATTATAAGAATCGCGGACATTTCTATCTCTTTTTAAAAGCTTCTTTTTTTCCGGCGAGATTTACATGGGAGGGACACATGGCAAAAAGTATTTCGACGCAGGACGAATTGTGCGTGCGACGTGAATGAGCGAAGGGGGGGAAAAAAAAGTACAGTTGTGTTCGCGAAGCCGATCGGCCTTTTGAAAGTTCGGGGACGCTTAACACACAGCTGTGGAATCGAAAACGCCGGCCCGTCAAGTCGTGAAAATGGTTCGGGCAGATCGAAGAGCTTAATCCCGGCATCGCGCGAGAAGAATTCAATACGAGAGCCGTTCGGTTCGCTTCCGCGCCGAGAGCAGCCTGCTGCCTATCTTTCACAGAGTTTTCCCATTTTCTATCTTCCCGCGCTGAATACACTTTGCGTGCCGCCGTTTCTCCTCTCGTCGTGTAAAAGACGTCATCGCGATTTAAAATACTTGTCCAGGAGAATCTTCCAAAGTTCCTCGCGCATTAATCATTTCTCGTGTTTCGTGCGACCGGATTTTCAGCGTTGATCATTAATTTCCCAGGCAGAAACTTCGGCAACGTTTCTCTTTAATAAAAAAAAAAAGCCAGTAGATCGAGCCCAAATTAACACGGGATTGTCGATTGAATAAACTGATAAACGACACCGCGAGGCTATTTGTTACGAGGTCCACGATGAAATTATATAATGGTAAAGAATGAAACAAGGATTATATCGAAATCCAATTGAGAGTGTCCGCTCGATTCGTGTAATATTCTACTTCAATTTAAAATCCGATCTTTGTGCTTTAATTCCTTTTCACTCGCACGACGTTACCGCAATAAATGTCTTGATTTATTAATGAAACACGATTGGGAGAAATAGAAGTTATTACGCAACGAACAAAATAATCTCGATCGCGGTGAAAGACAGTCGACCTGTCGGCCGCCAGTTTGACTTTTAGTCGATAAACCGATTCGACCCACGTTGGTTTCCGCTCGTTAATAGTCCCCCAGTTAAAGGACGTATTTGGTCAATAAACTGCGCCCGGCGGATATTTTCGCGACTTGCAAATTCGCGGACGAAACGGCGATTCGCCGCCGGACATCGCGCGTAACTCACACCGAGGATATTTTACGGGCACCCCAGCTCGAGCTGGAGAGACAGAGCGAGCAGGGGGACGTGAGCAATTATCAGGCGAACGGCGAGTTCCACCTTGTGGACTTCACCGCTCGCAGAAACGTCGAGTACTACTCCTGCTGCGAGGAGCCCTATCCCGACATCACTTACGAGATTCGCTTACGACGACGTCCGATGTTCTACGTCTTCAACCTGATCCTGCCTTGCATACTAATCAACGGCGTCGGTAAGTGGAGCGCATGAATGCGCATATGGCACATGGCCGAAACGTCGCGGAATAGATCCTCACCTTAGTAGCACAATATATTGGCGCAATATGGGGAAATAATGTAAATTTAGTATTCCCGATATTGGTCCAATATTGTAAGATGGACGCCTACTCTTATTTAGCCAATAGGTCATTTAGCAATATTGGTTTAATATTATGTCACATCAAGAATTATTTGACGCCGGCAAATGACTAACAATGATGAAGCTTTTAATCGACCACGACTGGCGATGTGTTTTTAACACAGAAAATTTATTGCGAAAAATATTACCCCAGCCAGGGTTTGAACCTGGACCTCCCTACGCTCTAGGCGGGCGTCTCACCAATTCGACCACCGTGGCATATGATAATATTTGTCGCAATAACAGTATAGATCTATGCTATATCACATGCCACGG